ATTTTTTTTTAAATGAATGTTTTTTGTATTTGAATAAACTACTGTTAAGACTGATTCGCTCTTCTCTTATCTGTTATCTGTTTCTTGTTGTTGTTTTTGTAGGGAAATGAGGCAGGGAAAAAAACTTCTTTGATTGTTTGCGAGCAAATGCAAGATTTTATTTGCGATGTTTTGTGCTCACAGAGCTATAGACATTTGTACCATTTGTACACGTGACAGCTTACAGGTATGCGCGGACATCATCGTCCTCGCGGACGATTTCCTCGTCCATGAGCCTGTGGCTGGGGATGTACTTGTGGGCGGTCTGCTGGGACAGAACGTTGTCGAAGTCGTTGACGTTCTTCTTGATGAGGACGTTGTTGTTGTCGGTGGTGGAGTCCTTGTGGAAGATGACGACGTCCTTGAAGTACATGTTGGGCATGTAGAAGCGGCCGAAGTTCTCGATCTGGCGGTCGAAGGGGAAGCCGAGGGGACGGTTGTCGAGGACGGTCATGAGTCCGTTGCAGGAGTAGATGTCCTTGACGCCGGTCTGGTAGTTGACCTTCTCGGAGTGGTAGTAGTCAGCGTGCTCGTGCTCGTCGGCACCGTAGGGGGTGACCATGACGAAGAGGGCGTATGGGACTCCGGCCTTGTGGCCCATGGGCAGAACAAGACGGTCGGGGAAACCGCACTGACGGTCGACGCTGGAGAGGACGGTGTTGCCGCTCTCGGCGCTCTTGAGCAGGGACTTGAAGGAGACGTTGTCGCCGACGGTGGTGGTGAACTCGCGGGAGTTGCGCTTGATCAGGTTGTCGCCGTTCTTCACTGTGGAGCAGGAAAAAGAAATCAGAGGTTAAAATTGTGTCAAGGGGGACACAAAATATTTAAAAAAACAAACAAATAAACAACTTACGTTCAACGGGGAAACGGTCGAGCTCGACAAAGTAGTTCCTGAGCCTGTCGAGGTCGGCGGTGTCGTGTCCGTAGTAGACGTCAGAGGCCTGCTCGCCGTAGAAGTTGGAGTGGGTGAGGGCGGTGCTGGGTCCAAGGAAGACGCGGACGACGGCGCTGGTCTTCTGGTTGCTGGAGACCTTGATCTTGTAGTTGAAGGGCTGGTGGTTGAGACGCATGGCCTTGGCGATGTAGTTAAGCTTCTCGAGCTCGTCCATGGAAGCGACGTCGACGGCGTTGCTGACATCGATGTCGAAGAGGTCAAAGTAGGTGACGAGCTTGTCGACGGCGACATCCTGGACGGTGACTCCGTTGAAGATCAGGTCATCGGGCTTGTAGGAGGGAAGGTTGTCCTTGTACTGGGCGAACAGGTTGTTGATGTACTTCTGGAGGATGTAGAAGGCGGGGTCGCGGAGAGCGGTCTCGTAGTGGCCGATAACGCCGGGGGCGACGCCGTGCTCGTTGGTGGGGTCCATGATGAGGGCGAAGAGGTTGCGCATCATGGTCTGGTAAGAGCCGTAGTAGCGGGAGTTGACGGAGTCCTGGTTGCCCTCGATGATGTTGCCGATGATGTTGATGCCCTTGACGTACTGGGTGATGGGGATCTTGTTGCCGTCCTTGCCGAGCACGAAGCCGGAGTCGATGGCGTCCTTGATCCTCTGCTCGATGGCCTTCAGGTCCTCAATGTTGTAGGACTTGATGCTGGAGATCTCCTGCTGGGCGGGGCGGGCGGGGAACTGGGCGCCGTTGGGGTAGAGCAGGTCGGGGTTGTAGCCGGTCTTGATGGTCTCTTCCCAGTCGAAGTCCTCGAGCTCGGGCAGGTAGTTGGCCATACGCTGCAGGTTGTAGCGGGCGAGGATCTGCTGGTAGTAGTAGTAGAAGGCCTCTCCGCGCATCTGGCAGGTGGTGATGCCGT